CAGAGAGGTGGTGGATGCCCCATCCCTGGAAACATTCCAGGTCAGGTTGGAGGGGGCTCTGAGCAACCTGATCTAGTTGAAGATGTCCCTGCCCACGGCAGGGGGGCTGGGCTAGATGAACTTTAGAGGGCCCTTCCAACCCAAACTATTCTATGATTCTATGATTTTCCTATTCTATGATTCTAAAGACTTTCCAAAGGTATGCAGTAATTTGCTGGCAAAACCAGGAACAAGCAGCATTTTTTGCTGCTTTGTCCAAGTCCTTAATTACAAAATCATCTATTATCTCTGAAGAGACTACAGAACACCTAACTATGGTTATTGTTTTGTCTCAATTTCCTGCTATTCTTACATTATTTTTACAATGGACCACAATTCCACATTTTGGCATTTTCTTTGATCTTTCTGTTTACCTCCAGAGTGACCTCAGAAAGAATGTGATGTGGCAGCTGAGAGCACATGAGTCCTAACCCAACGATGGCTTCCAGCTCCCCACAGTCTGCAGCATGCTCCAGGTGAAACAGGGCTGACTCCTGATCCCATTCCTTGTCCTTCTCACAGAAACGCCCAGCTTCATGATAGCGAACCATGGCCAAATGAACCTAGAACACAATTGTACAGGAAAGACAGAAGTATTAAGTATAGATCTGATTCTTCAAAAGCCCTGTACCTATACTTTACTTGGGCACAAAAATACATCTCTGAGGTGACTACTTAATTAAAGCTAATTGTGTACCTCTGTGACTGAACAGAGGACTAGTTTGATAACACACAGACTTGGAGCCTCACTTGTGCCTGAACAGATTAAACAGGCAAAAAGCAATGATTATACACAGTGCAGCTGCCCCTCCAGTTCTGTAAGCTTAGACACATACAGCTTTATAAACTTGACTAGTAGAGATAGAAGACATAATTCAGCAAGACAGTAGCTGCCACAGCATCTTCCCACATCAGTGTGCCCTAAGTATTATCCCAGCAGGTTGCCACACCAGAGCACCAGGTCTTAGGGGCATGTCCCAGTGTATCTGCTAGGGCCTTAGAGACCTTTAGGAGGGAGTCGTAGTTAAAGGCACCCAGCCTGCAACTGCCTAACACGCCAGCCAGCAGCGCAAACAGCAGTGACCATAGGTCACAGACTTCTATGTACAGCAAGGGCCCTCACAGGAAAGGAATTAACCTTCTTGATTTTCTACACCTCAGGTTATCCAGGGTAAAACCCTCATAGCACTGAAGCTGTGCTGGTTTTAGATGGGATAGAGTTAATTTTCTTCACAGTAGCTAGTACGGGGCTATGTTTTGGATTTGTGCTGGAAACAGTGTTGATAATATAGGGATGTTTTCGTTGTTGCTGAGCAGTGCTTGCACAGAGTCAAGGCCTTTTCTGCTTCTCACACCACCCCACCAGCGAGTGCTGGGGGTGCACAAGAAGTTGGGAGGGGACAGAGCCAGGACAGCTGACCCCAACTGACCACAGGGATATTCCACACCATATGGCGTCATGCTCAGCATATAAAGCTGGGGGAAGGAGAAGGAAGCAGGGGGACGTTCAGAGTGATGGTATTTGTCTTCCCAAGTAACCATTATGTGTGATGAAGCCCTGCTTTCCTGGAGATGGCTGAACACCTGCCTTCCAATGACAAGTAGTGAATGAATTCCTTGTTTTGCTTTGCTTGCATGTGCGGCTTTTGCTTTACCTATTAAACTGTCTTTATCTCAACCCATGAGCTTTCTCACTTTTACTCTTCTGATTCTCTCCCCCATCGCAGCCGGGGGGAGTGAGTGAGCGGCTGTGTGGGGCTTAGCTGCTGGCTGGGGTTAAACCACGACAGAAGCCTTTATTGTCAGTGGGGGCAGGATTTCATTCCAAACATGTCATGGGATTTTGAGGGTTCCGCCCCCACCAAGGGAAAAGGCAGGTTTCTTCTCAAACCTTTCAGTTTGAGAACATCTGAGGTTCTCAGAATGTTCAGGAAGATCTACATCCTGTGTTTTGAGTGTGGGCTTAAGCCCATACAGAAACTCAAACATTTGCATTGTATGGGATAGTCTGGAGTAAAAAGAGTTGGTCCATGCTACCATTTTTCAAGACCCCAACCTTGCCTATTTGCAAGGTATGTGGGTCAGGCACACCATATCTATCCCATTGTAACTTCTCTGCGCAAAGCCTCTGGAAAGGCAGGCGAACCAACAGCAGGGTCCTTCCCAAAGGAGCCCAGATCTTGCAAGTCCAAAAGCAGATGGAATTCATGGGTTCCTGAGCTTAGGTGTCCCTTATAAAATATGATTAGGTGACAGAAAGCTATAGAGATGTTATTTATTTTCACCTGCACAAATAACTCATGCAGGGCAACACCTCTATGTAAGTAATAAATACAGGATGTCTCCAGTTGGAAAGAACAGGATTACTAAACCCATCCTACCTTCCCAAGGACTGACTTCCCAATTTTCTTTTCAAGTTCTAGTGCATTGAGCCTCTGAATTTCTTGGGCAACACAGGACGGTCTGTGGATGTGGACTCTGGAAGAGTTGTAGAGATTCCATTTCTCCACACTGATCTGAAATAGGGAATATACTATTATTTCTCTCTAAAATTAAAATTTCCATACTATTCATATGGATTACCATCCAGAAATCAAAGCCTCTGTTAATATTATTACTTATTAGTAAATACTGTAATTTAAGACACGGCTTTCAAAAGTCATGTTAGTAGCTGAATAATTGGTTATTCTTCTTCTTTAAAGAAACAGAGTAAAGCCCTCTATTTCTAATCCCAACATCAATTATCTTTCATAAGTGACAGCAGCGAAGCAAAGCATTATCTTTAAGTTCTGAATCAGAAAAAAGGTACTTATAAAAATAAGCACCTGAACAGTCACACTGCAAGGACTGAGGTTATCCATGCACAAAAAAATTAAACCCATACTTTTCCAGTCAGAATTTCACTTCAAAACATTTTAAATGCTGCTTGCATTCTACAACTCTAGAAAAATGAAAAGTAACAATGCAGAAGATGATAGGCAGGTACATGCATTGGTGTTTCTCAGGATGTCCAACACAAACGAGAACAAAAAACTTTTGAACATACTGGGTGGATGGGACACAGTAGCCAAAAAAAAATCCTATCAAAATGAAAGCCTTTGGAGGTACACAAGGGAAACACAATAGGGAAGGTTACTGGCACAGCATTTCAGTCTGTTAAAGCTCTTTCAATTTCCTGAAACAGCAATATAAAATCATTACAAGGAAATTCAGAAAAGCATATCTAATTAAATTAGTCATTGTTGTCAAAGCTCTGTTTTTTTTCCTTACAGAATAGAGTTATTTGTTTAAGTTTATAGCCACAGAAACTAATTATCACAGAAACTATACTTTGTAAAAACATACACAAGAAGGTCTGGTCTTCCCTACCTCAGTTAGATACAGAGTGGAGAGAGCTACTGTCACGTATTTCAAACACTGCATGCTTTAAAAAAAAAATCATCCAACCACATATGGGACACAATTCCAAAAAATAAAGTGAAGAAAGGAAATATAATCTAGTTAGGCAGAAAAAAAATCCATAGAATTATAATTTTTTTTTTAAAGTGAGAAACCCATGCTTAATCACTAATTTATGTCAGGGATCAGTTACAGAGGTGACAATTTGTTTCTAACAGTACTTCTTTAACTGGAAAATAAAGATTAAACAAAAAAGGAAACACCACAGAGAGGTAAATTAATATTAAGAAACATATTCTGTAGCTGAAAAGGAAGGAAAACTGACATCTGATTTAGTGCTGTGAAGTTAGATGGCAGATGAGTGGAACAAAGGACAAGCAGAGTGGCAAACTCATCATCTATGAACACTTCTGCTTTATTTACCCTTGCAGAGCTTCCCAAACTGTCTTCATCAGATTCATGTCTTCGGTTGTTGTTTGAATGGCCCTACGTTAATGTAAAGATTTGCATCATTTAATTTGCAGCAACTGATGTGTGCCAGTTATCCCTCTAGACTATTCCTATCCAGTAAAATTAATAGTGACAATGACCAAAATAGTTTCCACTGGATCGTTTTCTCTCAGTGATATCGCAGTATAAAAAGAAACATACTGAAATGGTAAAGAATACGGTACACCCAGGCTTTAACCCTGTAAACTGGATATCCCATGACAAATACCTTGCCACTTCAAAGGTGACAAAAGGAGCGTATCTTTGGAAGCAATATTCTCTTTCCTATCTTCTAATTAAATATCTAGTTAAGATCTTCAGGTCAAAAAGCATTTATTTAAAGGTTTGTATTTTAAAGGAGTAATCAACTAACCCACAGGAATTCTGAAGTTACATATTATTAGCTGACAACATCATTAAGTTCTGTGATATCTCAAGCCATATAAAGTCATAGAAAGTAGAGAGGGTAAAAGAGTCTGAAAGTAGATCATATTCATGGATTCCATATGACAAGAAGCTGGCTACGTTTCTCAAATGCAATACAGAATACTTAACCACCCCCCCCAACAATACACAATCAAATGTAATGTTTGAAATTAAGCTCATCATTACAAATAGTCTTTTTCCTGTAAAAGCGTCATTAACATTCACAAGATGAATAAGTAATTTTGCAACATGTGGGAATTTCTTTCCACCCGTTTCCTCTGTTCAGAAAGTCTAGATCAAGAGGAATAAAAAAAGTAAGATTCTTCTATGGAAATAGTTCAAGTATGAACAGGCCCAACTCTGCTAAACCCTGAGTCAGGTTCTTACCCTCTCTCTATGATCCAGATCTTCTAGCTCACTTCTCTTTTCACTGGGATATCCACTGTCTCCACCATTTTCAAAATCCTGCAGAAGATAAGAACAAAACATCACAGCATTACCGCTACCCTTTGTAAGGATCTCAGCTTAACATTTCCCACAGAGGAAACCTCCTGCTGGTTCAATGAGATACGTTGGATGAATATACTGGATGAAAATGATTGTATGTTGTGCTACCTCTGACAGACAGAACAGGACTTAACGACCCAGAAGGTACTGTCCAAGCTTGTGTTCTCTCTTAGATACATAAAAAAAAAATCAGGGACTTACATACTTTATCAAACCAATAGTCCACTTAATGTAGTTTTCAGTCTTCAGTGGTAGCCAGTTAAAAGATAAAACAGTAACTGACAGCCCTAAGGTCCTAGTGCTGGAAAATTCCCATTGCAAACTTATTGCAGTCTCCTCAGGTGAAGTTCTCTAACATCCCACAGTACCAGTATTTGCAGACACCTAATCAATGGGGATTCTGTTTAGCTTTCATACCACAGCAGTTGGCACAAGAACCAAAGACACAACATGCAGGCAAGGGAACAGACACATGCTCTAGTTATCTGTTAAAATACACCAGATGTAAATAAATTTCTGGAGGAAAAAAATAATGAATACTATTTTAAAATAAAATGTTCTTCCTTTATTAGAAACAGCAAATGCATGCAAGTAACAAGACCTGCAGCAATGAAAGCAGACAGAGCACCTTTATGTGCTTTTACTGAACAAAGCCTTCAGGCAGTCCTTTAAAGTCACATTCATTAAGGAGCTGCAATCTCATTTTCTGTTGGAAAGACACTCACCCTTTGGTTATCAAGCTGATCATAGTCTTTATGAACCAAGTTATCTACTTCATTGAACACAGGCCAATCTAGGAAGAGAAATATTTGCTTCTTATTGTAAGGATAAAATGCTTGAGGAGAAAGCTCTAGATACCATCATTTTACCACAGTTTTTTCACAGAAGCATTTGTGCATTAATTACCTACACAGAAGTACTTCTAGTTTTAGTTCTGCTCAAAGAGGAATGCTAGAGACAAGTATTCTGGACTAAATACAACATGCTGTTGTATTCAAAACCAACAAAATAAAACCAGTCACTGCCAAATGTTCAGGAACCCCCAAGGAAGTTATGTATGAGGCTCACTCACTAAGCATGTCCATCTTTTGACTGTGAGGGGTTGCTGAGGAAGGAGAGCAGGGTAGAGAGTCAAATGCTACATCGCTCATGCTTTCATCTCCGGAGTTTTCAGACAGGCGGAAGAGCAGAGGAGGCCGGCTACCAGACACTGTTCTCACCCGGCTGCTGCCACATTTTTCCTCTGTGCCACGGAGAATTGTTTGAGCAGATTCCTTGGCAAATTAACAAGAAAGTTCCATGAATAATGCTTCTCTGTATTCTAAGCATGCTACATAAGCCAACATGAATGTTTACTAGGAGTCCTCTACAAAAGGGGGGGGTATAAATACGCACATGTATACATAACTATTTGCTTTGAAAAGTTCTACACCCCAACAAAATATCAAGTCCTGGCATTGTTACAGTCAGAGAGAGTTCTGTTTAGCACTGAATTTCACTCAAAGTGTTTAATCAAGTCCAATTCCCACTAGTATCAGTTGAAACTGAGATCAGTTCTATTCTTTTTTTCTCCCCAAATTCCGTTTGTGAGATACAAAACTTACTAATGATTTCAGCATTCAAAGATATACTTGGTCCTAAATATGCATGTGTTACAAGGTTCCCTATTAATTAAAGCTACAGCATTAATTCAGAGACAAGTATGGATAAGTCAGCTTTAAACTGCTGTATTTTTAAACTGCAACATTAGTGATTAAGGTGATTTTATCTGCCATGTAAATAGCATATTTCAGTTTTATTTACAGGGCTTTTAAAGTTAGAATAAACCAGCTATACTGCTTAGTTACACTTTTTTCATCAAGCACTTACAAGCAATTTTTTATTACAGTCCAAGGCATCTTTCTCTTTGGATGAAAGATCAAATGGTGCAAGCCCCATGCTTTTGCAAATCTTGTTGCAGGAATGAGAATGAAAGAACAAGGCCATACCTCGAACACCTACGGCATTAAAAAAAAAAAAGTAGTGAAGAAAGGGTTTACTCAAAGTTTATATGACTGTTTGCTTATTAAAAGCTTGAAGTCCCAAAGCATTTTCTAAAAAGTCAAAAGAGAAAGAAAAAGTGCTTTGTAGCACACACAGATCAACCCACTTCTATTTTATTTTTAACACCTGCAAGAGCGAGTGAAAGGAAGTCTGCAAAATCTCCAAAAGCTATGTATGCACAGGATATAATAAATTAATTTGGCTGCATCATTGAGAAACATGCCTAAATGTGATCCTTCTTACAAAACTTGCTGTGTCCTATAAACAACTTCATGTATGGACACTTGGAGCTTTAAAAATATGCAAGACATCTCTCCACATTCAGCTGTATCCATTCCTGCAATGTAGCAAGGAAATTAAAGGCCATGATTATTGCTCTCACATTGTAGGAAGCTACTTAATTTCATTACTTGTTTGGTTTAAGAGTAGACCAGGAGACATAAGCCAAGATCAGCTCTCTCTTTAAATCTGCCCTTGCCTGACAGCTGCCCTGTTCGGGGACTCCTTACAATAGAACTTCCCCAGCTGTTTACAAGACCTTCAGAAATGTGCCTGCTCATTCAGCTGTGTAGCAGCTACTCAGCAGACAGCTGGGAAAAGAAAATAAGCATCCATTAGCATGTGAAACAGGATCATTGATTTTACCTAGGTTGCCATCTCCAAAATCTGTACCATTCTCTGTATGGATCTGAGGGTCCGTGTAAAGATCTCCAACTCCCTGGATATCAACAATAATGAGTTGGTGTCCTGAGCGCTCAAAGGTGAAGTGACTGAAGGCCTGGGAAGAACCATAGAAGATGTCTGAGAAAACTCTCCCTTGATCTACTGAAAACAGCAACACATATTCACCTCTTACAAATGGGCAAAGAAGTCTGATAACCCTATTGGTGAAATATAACTGGTATAAACATCGTGATGAAAGCAATGAGAGACTAAAAGAATGTAGTAGATTGCTTCTCCAACCTGCCCATACTCAGAGATGGGCTAAAAGAGATAGGATGAAAAGCAGCAGTGGGAACATGCAGGGGAGAGGAGATTGCTTTATTCCTCCTTCCTGTACTGGAGATTCTGTTTTCCACTACAGTCTTCACCTTAAGAAGTGGGGAGCTGCCTGGCAGGGGGAACAACAGTGGGCTCTGAAGCCAGTGCAGAGTAACTTCTGCATAAACATCCTGACTGTGCCTGTGGATCTCCAAGCTCTGCAGCCCTGGGACACCGCTTCCTTCTGCCAACAGGCAAAGCTCTGCCACATTTTGAAAAAAGAAAGAAAAAAAGTGAGCATCCCCACAAATTCTCCTTCCCCTACTATGCCCTCTGGGAGGTCAGATCACCCTGAACGGCTGATCTGGCTCTACATTCCTATATCAGATAATGAAATGTACATTTGTACTCTTTAAATGCAGAATTTCAAGAATCAGGTATAAAAAGCCCTTCTCTTTGGCATAAAGCTGAGACATTAGGAATCTTCTGGGAAGGCCTCCAAAAAAGCACAGCCAGGCCTCGGGGAGGTGACTGGTGGTGATAGACAAACATTTTAACTGCAGCAAGTCTCACGGAACATTTTGTTCCCAACCTGTGAAAGCATAGCACTGATTCAGTGTACAAAAGACAGCCCAGAACATAAACCCTCTGCTTACATTAAGCATCATGACAAATACCTTAAAAACAGGGAAAAAAAAAATGAAAAGAACAAAACCCTCAAGCCCCAGTAAAACACTCCTTTGCTACGCTGACCACTTCACATTTTTCACCAGTATTTTAAAGTTCTTTTACAAGATCCAAGAATCACTTGAAATCTGTACTTGTATTTCTATACGCAACCTCAGATTCACCTATTCAGAGGCTGTAGCTGAAAAAAACAGATTCTTATATGCAAATGGACTAGATGTTTAGTTACATGAGTTGGGTATCTGCCATCTCCTTTTGTATATTACATGAGGCACCAGAAGACTATTTAGTACATAGCACATGAGAGGTCTCTCTCCCTGCCTTAATTTGAAGAGAGTTTGAAATACGTCGATGCCTGCAATTATAATTAGCCAAAGGGCTTAAGGTTTCCAAAGAGTATTAACCACGTTCAACTCAACTAAAATCAACAGACACTGAAATGCAATAAAGAAGCACTCAGCGCTTGAAAGAGCAGGCCCCAAATAAGGGGCAGACATACTGCAAAAAGAGAAATTAATTTGGCATTGTACTGGAAAGCCTGCAGTTTCCTTTCTTGGCAGTAATGCAAGACCTCTGGATAGAGCCAAGAAATTCCCTGCAGCAGCCTCTACGGAAAGCATTAAACAAAGCCTCACTTGCGGAGTAAGACGAATATTGTCATCTCGCACAAATCCAGAATTTGAGTTGTATTTGATGTATTTGCCCTCAATGTAATGTTCCAGATGAAAGAGAGGCTTTCCAGGTCTGTTCTTCATTTCGATAATACAGGTCTGTACTATATCCACCTGCGGAGGGAGAGAAAATAAACAATGACTAACAGAATACTGTCTTCAGATCACAGTGTGTGTGAATCCTCCAGCTGTGAAAACTTTCCCAATGAAAGAAGCTGAACAATTGCAAAGATCTGTCTGTTTAACAACGGGATGGGGGAAGAATCACATGCTGCTTAGGTTATTGGAGGAATTCCATAAATTAAAAGCAGTCACTTCAAAACAGCTCACTTCTGCAACAAATCCCTCTGAAAAATTCTTAGTAAGTGTTGGCTTTCTATTTTATTTTTGTGGGTACCTTGAAAATACACTGCAAAGAGTCTATACCCAGAGAGCAAAACATACAAGTAACTACTGCACAACTTGAAGAAATGCCTCTTCAGAGAAGGACTGAAGACCTCTACCATTCAGATATTTCTGTATCCTGCCTTACCTCCTCCCTTTGTCCCAGACACATTCCTAAAGGACAAACCATCACAACTCTCACTTTGCTTACATTTTTTTCCCCCACATAGCATTTAAAACTTTTAGATTTCTAGATTCCGCTCTGTGCCCTTCACTCTATACCTCACCTTGCTCTTGTGAGACAGGTAGTTATTAACTCCCCTCATATGGGAGGCAATGCACATAGTCCACATATTCAAAAACACTCCTTTTGGCTATTAAATTGTTAAGGTCCCCACACTGAGGCATACTTCTTGACCTAAGCATCTTGTCACGTCACACACAGTCTGTAGTACAGCCAAGAGCACGAACCAAGATAACACAGTGCACATACAGCACCCTTCCTACAAGCTGCCTCTTCCATCCATTTGAAGTCATAGTTACACTCAGGCATTCGGTACCAGCTGCAGATTAAAGGGATTTGACAACTTCATTGATACCTACCATGGACATACTCAACAAAGAGGAGTTACTGGCTGGGAGTGAATGACAGTTGCAGTCCTTCATCCCTGCACTTTAGTTTCTTGTCTGTTAACAAGCTGATTGCTGCTGGAGGTGTTTTTGACCAGGACGTAATGGCCAGCTTTGGCCAGCAGCTATCCAACTTACCAGCGTGGAAAAGCGCAAAGCTATGTTGGCTGCACAAACTGTTTAGAACGGACCCCAGAACCAGAAGTGCAGCCAGCAAAGCAGTAGAACCGCCTCTTGCTGAATCTTATGTGTTTATGCATATCCCTAGCACAGAGGATGGGAACTTCTCTTGATACCCTGAGCCCAGTCTGATATTCCATCCACCTAGGAGTTACATACATCTTAATGCTTTGCACTTAACACAATGTGCTAGTATTGTCACTGAGATACCTAAAGGAAACAAAGCCATAGTATCCTCATTTTTTTTAAAATTCTTAACCGCTCCTCAGAAGTCTGTATTTGAATAGCTTTGTAAAGTTATTCAGGTTTCCAGCTCTTCTTAAAAATCAATGCTAGTTAGGTGTTTAGATACGTTTACAAGATTTAGAGCATCTACCCTCCTGGAACACTAACAGTTAAGTGCTTGCTGAGACTGCTGCTGGCAATAAATTCTGTGACATCTTTGGTTATCTCAAAAGCAGCTGGACAAATATCAAAAAGAGCAATACAAACACTGTTTTATTTTGGTCTTCAGTCAACAGCTGAGAACAGTCAGACATTCACAAACACACAGCCCCTAATTCTGGAAATATAAAGCAATTTTTGCATTTACTGCATTAAAAATCAGCTACCATTGAATGGAAAACACAGTAGGGCAGAAGAATCTATCTAAGCAATTAAATTTAATGGAATGTGAACAAGTAATTCCCTCCTAATTCATCTGAAAACTAATCTAATAGAAGAGCAAGACCACATTTTTGCTTAGCAAGACCTTTGAATGTACCTGTTTTGGTGGCTTGTGCCGGTTGTACTCTTCTCCCCAGAGTTTTGCTTCCATCTGAAGTCGGACATCCTCAAAATACACATCCCTGCCCACACTCTCTATATATTGCTTGGCAACATAGTTATAGGCACCTTTCCAGTTCTGCGTGTGTAAGAAGTTGGACAGCTTTTTCCTGAAAGACAAATCAATCGTTGATGAAGGGAAAACCAAGAATTTTAATTCAATATTCCCTATTTCTTTGCCTGCATGGACAGAGCCAGGCCCCAAGATCAGCATTACCCTCAGTCATTTACCAGATACTCTAGCTGAAAAGTGAAGCACAGGTAGGAAGCAAGGGAAAAAGCAACATCCCATATGAATGGCTGGGACGTGCCAAAGTGCCTGTTTGGTTTGACTGCAGCTACTTCTACTCTGAACTTCCTCCCTTTCTCATTTCCTTTCCCTCCCCTCCACTCCCTTCAAACCCAGAGTATGAAGGGTTGGTGCCACCTCCACGCCCTGTTCTAGTGTCAACAATTATTTTCTGCAGAAATTAACAGGGAGTGGCCTTTCAAACATAAACTGAGAGGAGAAAACCCTCTATGATAAGAGCAAACCGCTGCCTTCTCAACACACAGGGATGATTACTTAGTATCCCCCATAACCCCAGAAGGAAAACTGCATGATAGTTCTCCTTATGATGTAGCTTTTAACTTTTGTTAATGCGTAAATTTTTAATCCACAGATCTCTCAAGAGCAGGGGAAAGGGGGGGGGGGGGGGGGGAGACAGATA